CCCAATTTGGTCTGGGCCCGAGGTGGGCTTAATAGCCGGTGACTACTGTATTTCAATAGTTTATCCTGCCACCCTCGTAGTATTTAACCCTATCCCCATTTCGTGTTTGGTCTACCAACCCAAAAGGGGGATTTGTGGTATGAAATTACAAAATTTATGCGCAGGACAAAACACTGGAGGCTACCAGGTCGGCACAAACAAAAACGATCAGGAGAAACTAGACTAAAAGCATACCCGAGGATTCAGAAACAACCACCAATTTGTCGTGTGAGGACTCAGCAGACGTTAGGCAGGAAGTTTGGTTGCAACGGTTTTCTAAACGATGTTGGAAGGCCTTCATCCCAGGCGGAGTATTCGGGCGAGGGATAAATGGCTTCTTTGTGAGTTCAGCATCTAGAGAACTGGGAATAAATCCCCCGGTGGCTAAGTTAGCAACTGGTGGAGTTGCAAACGCCTGAATAGGGACAGAATAGGTCTTTTCAGTAGTGGCAGCGGGCCTAACAATTTTCAGCGGAACTTGAGGAGACACGCCACCAAAGTCCCTCGTCATATCGAAGTCTTCCTTTTCACGAATGTAATAGCACGTCTCCGGAACTCTGACCTATACACAAAAAAGCAAAGGTAAAAGAGACATACAATTTTGCGAAACGCCAAGGCACCATAACCGAACGGACAAAAAGGCGTTAACAAATCCTGATGCACTGGGGGGGGGAGGGGAGAGGGTCACTTCATAAAAGCGAATCGCTAAAAACTGCAACAACTAAGTCATTTGCTGTCCTATGAGCATTTGTTTCCGAATCCATAAAATACCTGATTAAAGCAATATCTCTTGATATAAAGAGGGGTCAGACGCATATGCTGACTAATTTTTAGCCAGCTGAGGAGGATGTATAACCCAGTCCGACCATTTCGGTTGTGCATGTCTTTCTACCTTTCTTATAACGGAAGACTCCTTCACTTTTGAAAGTTGATATTATTTGGCGAAATCGTTTTATTAGGCTAGAGGCGGGGAGTTTGCACATGAAATTCGCTTTTTGATCATGCGTAATACGTGGTCCAGTTCATGAAGCCACGTAAATTGAACTCTCTTAAATGGTTCCTGAGTTCGCAAAAAATGAATACACGCACTCCTCTACTTTCAGACGCACGAACAGAGAGTCCCACGACAAGTCCAATTTGTGTTCACTGGGCTTTAAGCCGGAAAACATGTGCAGTGAGTTATTAGCATACTTACCCATGGATGGAAATCCTCATCCATCTTCATGATTTGGAAAACGACTTACGAATAGTTTGAGATATAGAAGGCCGTTCAGAACGCAAGTCGTTCGTAAGTCGAGGGATTTCTGTATATGATTCCGACTAAGCAATGCAAACAAACTACTTCTTAAGTTACGAATCTGTAATTGAGATAAGTTGCCCTTTATGTGATAGAAGCAGAAAATCACTTGCGCTAAAGGCGGGAAGCTGGCGCGGTCTTACGACGCTAAAGGTGACTGCATCTTATTAGGTCTGACCATCGTACCAGAAAAAGTGGGTTCATCCATCAGCCTAGCTGCCCGGTGCGTCTGCAGCTGACGAATAACAAAATGGACTTACGCAAAAGTTGACTGCGAAATAATCAGGCTTGAAGAAATAGCAGCTGAAGACGAGCAGGGACA